CAGGATTGGTTCACACCACAATTTTACAGACCGTCGCAACAGTATGTGCTGTCTTAAAGGTAAACTTTGGAATCAAATACCATTAATGTTTTATTTCAATGTATTCTGCTTGCCTTATTTCAAAAGCCAATTGAATAAGAGCCAAAAGATTAGTGAGATGTGCTTTTGGTATGTTCAAATGATATACTATCATGATGTTTATGTGCCATTATTACTAAGACTCTCAAATGATGTAGAGGAAAATCCAGGTCCTAGAACTTTAAATGATTTAGTTGATCCTGCCTGTACAATTCATGCAGATTTTAATCAAGGTAATGATTTAATGTTTGGTATGAGTGCTGGTAAACAGTGTGTAGCCATGTCATTATATGCAATTGTTTACAAAGAAATTAAATCAGTCAATATTTGGGATAGATCAATTCTAAACACAGTTTTAATAAATGGAAACAGTTTGTATGGTGTTATCAGTCAAAGTATAAATAAGAGTTATTTATTATTAACTGATGTCCCTGAGTTTGTTGACATAGAAAATCATACCTTTAATTTGCAATACAGTGATTCCTTTTCAGGAGCATTATACATGAGTGAAAATAGTCTCCCATTTGTGACACTTGAGCATGCTTTAAATGAAATATTTTATTCATTAAACTATAAAAGTTGTTTACTTACAATTGGTATTAATACTGTGGCAATTATCATGCCTTTTCCTGGTGTGTTTAAAGTGTTTGATTCACATTCAAGAGATCTATCTGGTAAACCATCTGCATTGGGTTATTGTGTTTTAATATCAGTGGAAGGAATAGAAAATCTTGGAGAGTATTTTCGATTAACATCAATGTCCAATGAAGGAAGTATTGTATTACCATTTGAGTTAAAGGGTGTAAAGTGCATCCATAATCATGATTTGGAAACAGTATTGTCTACAGAAAATAGTACAAATTGTGGTATGGTTGATGTAGGTTCTGCTGAGCTATTTGAACAACATAGTGTAAACACACAAGAACTGAACAACAAAAGGAATGATCAAACATTTAGAGAAAGGGTACAAACTAATGAGTCAACTGAAGAAAGTAAAGCTAGACTTGAAAAAATCAGTAAGGATAATAATGCCAAAAGAACAAAAAGACAGAATGAGTCAACAGAGCAAAGAGAAACTAGACTTGCAAAAATGAGAGATTATAATAATTCTAGAATACTAAATGAGTCAACAGAGCAAAGGGAAGCTAGACTTGCAAAAATGAGAGATTATAATAATTCTAGAACACTAAGAGAGTCAACAGAGCAAAGGGAAGCTAGACTTGCAAAAATGAGAGATTATAATAATTTTAGAATACTAAATAAGTCAATGGAGCAAAGAGAAGCTAGACTTGCAAAAAGAAGAGAATATAATAAATCAGGAAAAGAAAAATTTAATAATGAGACCATTCAGCAAAAGGAAGCTAGACTTGCCAAAAATAATGAACGAAAAAGAGCTTGTAGAAAAAAAAATCACTCTGCAAAGCAGTACGAGACAAAAGGTAACAAATCGCATTCAGTGAGAGTTGTTACAGATGCTGTACATTACTTGCCCAGTGAGAATATTGATACATTTGCACTTGTTAAAAAGTTTCATAATTCTGTATCTAGAGGACCTTTGTATGTTTGCACTTGCTGTGATCAATTATGGTATAAACATTCTGTCTCCCCTGCAGACAGAGTAAAAATGGTCAGTCCTGATATAATCAAGTATCTGCAAAATATAAAAAGTGTTGATAACATTGAATGGGTTTGTCAAACCTGTAACAATTACTTAATGAAAGGGAAAGTTCCCCCTTGTGCAATTGCCAATGGCATGAAATTTCCAGAAAAACCATCTTTCTTATTGCTCCTCGACTAGCATTTCAAAAGATTTTTCAGGCCCCAAGGGGTGGTCAACTCAAGATTACTGGTAATGTTGTCAATGTTCCAGCAGATGTAAACAGCACAGTAAATGTGCTTCCTAGATTATCAGATGAGACAGGTACTATTAAAGTTCAACTTAAACGAAGATTACAATACAAAAGTTTTGCGCTTTCAATGAATATAAGACCTCACAAAGTAATGCAAGCAGCTGCATGGTTGATTAACACAAGTCCTTTGTATGAAGATAAAGGCATCATTATCAATGAGAATTGGTTGAGAAGTTTACAAGAGTCAATGGATGATACATCTGATAGTATTGAAACGTCAAATGATGCAGATGATTTAACAACACCCAACTCTCCAGAAGATGAATGGACTGAAGGTGAAGCTGAGATACCGGCTGGAGTAACCGACACTATGTTGACTCCACCAGATTTTGTCAGTGATAGTGAAAGACAGGAAATTTATAATGTTGCACCTGGTGAAGGTAATAGACCATTGAGTATATTTAGAGATCAGTATTCTGAAGAAATGGCATATCCAGGAATATTTCTCGGACAAAAAAGACCAGATGACAAACAAAGGTTAAGAAGTGTTTACTATAGTGAAATATGTAAATCTGAGTTAAGAAGATCGGATCGACGAGCTGCCATGTGTGTTGAAAATATATTCTTCAAAGCTAAAAAATTACAAATGAAATTTTTGATTGGTCAGTCACAGATTGCTCTCCGAAAAAACAAAATAGGTAACAGAACACTTACTGCTGGAGACCTAAAAACTACAGAAGGTTTACAAAGTTTAATAAACCATGATGATGGTTTCAGATTTATGAAAACTCTCAGGGGTTCACCACCTTATTTTGAACGAGCCAAAAAGGACTTGTTTGCTATGATTCGCCAGTTGGGACCAGCATCATTATTTTGCAGTTTCTCATCAGCAGAAACAAAATGGAATCACTTATTAAGAATTCTCGGTAAACTTATTGATCACAAAGAATTTAGTGATGAAGAATTAAATAATCTTACTTGGGAGGAAAGGTGTCGACTGATTCAAAGTGACCCAGTAACCTGTGCAAGACATTTTGATTTTCAGTTCAATACTTTCTTAAAAGATGTCTTACACCCGTTTTCAAAAGTCTGAGCCTGACATGTGGGTTTTGTGACACATGACCTTTCAAAATGGCGGCATCGTGTTTGGCCGAGCATGAATCCGATTTCGATGAAACAGACGATGAAACAAACAATATTAATGAGGAAATAGATTATACTGAAACTCAATACAACAATAGCGTTTATAATGTACAGTTACCTGGCGAAGAGGACACTCAAATCGTCGACAGAGAAGCGATTGAGGTTAGTTTTACTATTATTATCATTTATCATGTTTTGCCCATATTAATTTTTAATTAGTACAATTTTTATTCATAAATTCATAGAAACAATACCGGTACATTTCTGGTAAAACAACTAACTATTATTCATTATAGAGAGAAGTGATATTGTATTTAGAGACAAAGAATGGAAACGTTTCTGGTGCTGAATGTTCACCATTGGTGTTGCCGCCCAGATGGGACTACGCGACGTTGAGAACCTGTGTAACAGACTACATCTCTCGAAAAGTAGGAACTGATCAAATTGTAAAAAAACTGTATTATAAGCGTGCAAATAAGAAGTCCTTGGTGTCATTTGATGGGGACATGGATATTCCTGCTTTACTAAAGGAATATCCTTTGGAGGGACCCAAACGAAAAGGAAGGAAGAATAAATGTTATATTTACTTAGCAGTTGATCTCGGGGAAAAAGGTATATATATATATATATATATATATATATATATATATATATATATATATATATATATATATATATATATGTATATATACAGATCATTTTAGCGTTTTACTGAGTGGCTACAGCCTAAAGAAAAGGTATCACCATGAAGGACACATGTAGAATTCATTTTCATATCATTGTTTCTGATGCCAAATTATTGACTGGGATTAGACAGGGTAAATTCTAAAGTTAAAGGCACAGATGCATAACTCAAGGGAACAGGCACCTGTTAGCACTGTTGCTCTCCCCTTGCAGAGTAAAATTTTCTGGTGTCAGACAAAGTGAATACTATATTGTGGGTGAATCAGGGTGCAATGCAGTTCAATGAATTAAAGCCAAAGTGGCTTTGTAATACTCTTACTTAACACTCTTATTTTCCATTAGTATATTGTAGCCTATAGATGCTCCTGTCATGTTTAATGCTGCTATCATATTTAATGCTCTTATGGCCATTGTCAATGTAAAGTGTTAAGCTAATTTAGTTGTTGTTACAGACAACCCTCTTATCAGAAAGTCACCACGTCTACAGGCACAAAAGGTTTCAGATGTATTCATTCATCCTTATGTTAATGGAAAAGTGTTACCAACTGCAGATACTCTGCACAATTTGTCACATAGTGAAACTCTATCAAATATAATTTTGATGATTGTGTCACTTGAAACAGAAAATTTATATGCTCCAAAGAAAGGCTTATTTTGGCTTCGAAAAGATACAAAACAACCTGTTGCGCTAAAGAGTGATGAAGATCTTGCTTCATGCAGACGAGAGTATGGTTTCAAAGTACCTATAAGAATTGCTTGTGAATGCATTGTCAATTCACCATCTGGTAAGAAGCAGTTTTAAACTTTGTTTTATCAATATTTAATTAATTCCTTGTAGTTACTTCAATTAAAAGGTAATTGCCACACTTTATTGTACCAGTATGTGTTTGAGGCTGTTGAGAACAAATATATAAATCTAGGGTATACATTAGGTAAAGTAATATAAATGTCTGCTGCAAATTGTGATACTTGTACCAATATAATCGTGCAATAGTAAAGCAATTTTTCATGTTGTGATCTTTATAGAACCAATATTGTCAAGGAAAAGGAAACTAGATTTGGGAGGAAATAATAGTACAACAGAAAATTAATTATGGAATGATGTCCATGTCTCTCTGGTGCGTGACTTAGAAAAAAAGGGAGTGATGTGGAGATATAACATAAACCACCTCAAGTGTTGGACTGACGAAATAGTGGCTGGAAAATCATCTGGTATTGGGGATGAGCCAGACTGGGAGACGTTTATTGATATTGTAAAAGTTGCACCTAAGAATATGAGAACAACCAGAAGCCCATCTGTATCTAGTGAAACAAGTTTAAGTTTATCACCAACTTCAAACCCTACCACCCAACCTCATAGTACCTCTCCCAACCTGCTGGAAATGTTCATGATACAGAGCCAACAGCGAATGGAAATTGAGGCAAAGCGGGCAGATATGTTTCAAAATACTTTACTAGCAATGATGAGTTCAAATGTTAGACTACCAGTGCAGGTGAGATTTATATATGTGATTAGATATTTGAGTTATTCGCTTGGACAAAGGAAAACAGCAAACAAATCTAATCTTTATGGTTTTCTATTATACTTAATTTCTTAGGAACCCAGCGGATCTGTCCCAATAAAGCCAACTGAAAAAACAGGTATGTTTTCATATATTTTTATTCAGCAATACATATGGAAATCACCAGCATGTTGTATATTGCCTGACAATAACCTTTAGCCATTTTCAAATTTTCCCTAAAGTAATGCAAGTGTATCACACAGTTAGTACCATTCAAAATATGTGGTATCTAATTATATTGCTTTTTTTTGCTAGCCATTCAGCAGCTTACAGAAGAGAATGTATCAAGAGTTTTGAAAAAGATAGGGCTGGAACGTTATTGCCAATGTTTTTTAGATAATCATGTAGATGGTATCCTCCTTGAAGCCATGATACACCACACCCTTGGTAATGGTTTGCTGGCAAGTCTTGGTGTTATAGATGAAAATGACCGCTCACTTTTAGTCAGGGAAATCTATAAAGTGAAGTTCCAGGGATATGAAGATTAAAGTTAGAATACTCACATGCACTGCTTTAGTCATAGCCACATGAAGATATCATCCGAGAACATGAGGTTTTTGATATCTGTCAATGTTGAGTTAGAGTACATCATTTAAAAACAAAAAACATACTGTACTGTGTTGATATTAAGTTCATAAAATAGTTATATCTTAACACTTATAATTCAAATTAAGTTATGAATCCCAGTTGGAATTGGGATTTGACTGGTATAGCAGAAGCATTTTTGCCAAGTGTTGTTAATTTTATCATGCACTTGTTTCTGAGCAACCTGTCTGACTTAGCAATGACAAAATATAGTATTATCCCACTACATTTTTTTCATATGCAGGTCAGTAGGTACATATAAAGAAAGAATGTTGTATTTTTTATAGTGTTATGAATATTAAAACTTTTCTAGTTTTTGTATTTCTACCAACTTTAAAATACAGTTGACTTGTTGTTTATAGCAGCTATTTTTGAGTATTACATAGATCCACACAACAGCATAAGAAATTCATATAGAAACAATACTGTACCTCATATAGTGCTATCTCGAAGCATCGTTTTGGATACTTTTCACATATATCTTGATGACACTGTAGCCACTCTTTTGCAGTGCCAAATGCGATTTCGATTGGGTTTAAGTCTGGTGAATATGGTCTATATGTAAACACAGATGCATGTATATATGTTATTGATAGGTGTGGCATTTCCCATTTTTGTGTCATACCTTTTGCTCTATATTTTGAGTACAAAGCAAGTAATGGACAATGTCAATTGTGCATTTACATATCATTGGAAATTACGTTTCCTGTTGTCTATTTGGTGAATGTGCCAATGGGGGCATTCTATTCATTTGTAAAGACACTATAAATAGCTCTAGTCAATACTAAGAGTTATGTAAATACTTACGGTAAAAATATGATAAGACCACCCTTGCTGCGAACCATGTTGATAATTCGTTCAGAATAGTGTATGGTGCAGTTATCTAGAACCACAACTGAGCATTTTTCTTGCTTTGCAAATGACCCAATGTGGGGTAAAATAAAATGCTCAAAACAAAACTCAAACTGGACCATGTCATAGGCACCAATTATATTTCGAGATACTCGACTTCAATTTAACAATGCATTGTCTTTATTATTCACTCCTTTAACAAAATTACAGTTAATTCAAAGAATATAAACTATAACAAAACAAAGTATTTAATCATCCGGTCCCTTATTGCCGCTGGCCTGCGCCTTCTCTTCGTCTTTTTTGTTCACTCAAGCATGGCGGACGATCAAGAAAATGTTTCAGTCTTGGAAAATATAGTCAATCCGTATCCATCAGAGCAGGAAGATTCCATGGAAGGTAGGAAACCTCTTCCGACAGACCTTGTTCAGGCCGTAGTGGCCGATCAAGGCTTACTTGCACAACTTTCATCCGCACTTTTGGCACAAATGGCTCCGCATTTAATAAAGCAAAATACTGCAGTGGTTCATGCCCAAGCAGTCGTTGACAGTCCCGGAGTATCAGAAGATCAAACAGGAACTGAAAATCTAACATTACCAGGAGTATCTGACGATCAAACTGGTACACAGAATCACTCAAATCCCGCTGCATCGGATGATCAGTTGGGTACATCTATTTCTGGTACTAAGCGAGGGCGAACAACAGTTATTCAACTGGACGATGACTGTCCGGTGTCGGCCAAAAAGGTTCGCACTACTGGCGATGTTGAGAGTGAGGTGGAAGAGACAGAGACGGATCATTTACTCTCTCCAAACTCGCGATGGGAGGCTAGTGAAAGTCTATCCCAGTTTCTAGCTACGACAGTGAAGAAGCTAAATAAGTTTGAGCGGAAGACCTTGGTTAAAGTTTATCCTAGACCAAATGTGGATGTAGTTTATACCCCTACTATGGATGAATATTTGAAACCTTTCATCCAGGGTATAACCTTGCCTGATAAACCCCTCAAAGAGCTACAGGACAATGTACTTGATGTCTTTGGTCCTCTGTGTACAGCATATGAGAACTTTCTATCCATGGAAAGCGCAATTTCTACAGATGGGGTAGTGCAACTGGATGCAACTAGCGTTCGCGGTTTCATGGATTGTATAAAGCATGCAATGCTTTTGACAGGGGATGTAGCTTCTCAAATTTCTACTAACCGACGAGAGCTGGTCTTGAAAAAAATAAACCACCTAATGGTGTCCCTTGCTCAAGAGGAGTTCCCAGATACGAATCGTAATTTGTTTGGGCCAGGGTTTGAACAACGCCTCAAGACTAGATCTGAGACCGCGGAGACAATTGGCAAAGCAACCCGTGTTGGCAAGCCCTTTTTTCGAGGGGGGGCCTCCAGGGGAGTTCACAGACCCTGTGGAGGCCGTCAAGGATTCAGCTTCAGGACCTTCTGCCCAAGCAGTTTCAGACCAAGAGGGAACATACAAGCCAGGGGCAGTGGAAACCGGGGCCGTGGCCAGTTTCCACGATTTCCAAACCCGCAGTCCTACAAGAACTTCCAGTACTAAAGAATGCCAGACCAGATACTCTACCAAAAGGTATGTTTTTAGAGATTTTGCAATTCAAGGTACCCGAGATTGCACCTCAAACAGGGCGTCTAAAATTTTTCACCCAAGCTTGGGAGCAGGTTACCCAGGATCCTTGGGTCTTACAGGTTATCCAGGGTTATCAGATAGAGTTTGTTTCTACCCCTCTGCAGCATTCCCTTCCCCACCCCCCAAATATTGCTCTAACACAGGACACTGTGTTGGAACAAGAGGTATTGGAACTGTGGAGGAAACAGGCAATTCAGCCAGTACCACCTTCATCTCTAGAGGGGGGGTTTATAAGTTCCATGTTTGTGGTACCCAAGAAAGATGGGGGAAATCGCCCAGTAGTCAATCTAAAACCGTTAAACCAGTATCTGGCCTACGAGCATTTCAAAATGGAGGGCATTCACATGTTGCGGGATTTACTGAAAAAGGACGATTTTCTTGTGAAAATCGACCTCAAAGATGCGTATCTGACGGTACCGATTTGCAAAAATCACCAAAAATACCTCCGTTTTCTCTGGAAGGGCACAATGATGGAATTCAGGTGTCTCCCGTTTGGGCTAGCCACAGCTCCAAGGGTTTTAACAAAGCTTATGAAGCCGGTAGTAGCAGCTTTGCGCCAAAGAGGAATTCGTCTAATTATATATTTAGACGACATCCTTATTATGGCAGAGTCTCACAATCTAGCATTGGACCATGCAGCCTCCACACTAAATCTTCTAGAGGGACTCGGCTTTCTAGTAAATTATCAAAAGTCCCATCTCTCGCCTGGCCAGCAGATGGAATTTCTGGGGTTTTTAATCGATTCAAACTCCATGACACTTCAACTTCCGGGCGAGAAATTGCGAAAAATTCGCAAGAAGTGTCAGGGGCTGTTGGATCAAGGCTCAATTTCAGTTCGCGAATTGTCAAAATTCCTGGGCCTCCTGACCTCATCCATTCAAGCGATATTTCCAGCCCCTATCTATTACAGACATCTTCAGAGGTTAAAGAATATAACTTTATCCTCCCAAAAAACCTACGAGGCCTTGGTTGCTTTAGATCCCCCGGCCAGAGAAGAAATTCTTTGGTGGAGAGACCATCTCCATGCATGGAACGGCCGGGCTCTGTTTCAGGACCATGTGGACCTCATAATAGAGACTGATGCCTCGCAGAAGGGATGGGGAGCATGTTGCGAAGGTGTGAGAACAGGGGGCCCTTGTTCCTTCAAAGAAAAGAAATATCACATCAACGGTCTCGAACTCCTAGCAGGTTCCTTGGCGATCAAAACGTTCACCAAATCCAGAGTTTGTGCTCATGTAAGACTGTTGATGGACAACACATCGGCAGTTGCTTACATAAACAAGATGGGAGGTACCCATTCCCAAGCTCTGGCCAATTTAGCAATAGATCTTTGGGAGTGGTGCTTCCAAAATCAGTTGGTGGTGTCTGCTCAGCATCTACCCAGATACTTGAATATGAGGGCAGATCAGGAGTCCAGAGTGATTCAGGACTCCAGCGATTGGAAGCTGGACCCATCAGTGTTTCAAATACTCTTAACCAGATGGGGGCCTTTCCAAGTCGACCTTTTCGCATCCCGACTAACTCATCAGCTACCAATTTTTGCCAGTTGGAAGCCGGATCCAGTGGCAACTTATACGGATGCATTTTCCATGAATTGGAACAAGATACAGGGATATGCATTTCCCCCTTTCTCTCTCATAGGCCGGTGTTTACGGCAGGTGATGTATCAAAAAGTGGACCATCTGGTGCTGGTAGCACCAGTTTGGGCCACTCAGCCTTGGTACCCACTACTTCTGCAACTCTGCGTGGATTTGCCGATGAAGGGCAGTCAAGCTCACCCTCTGGACAATCTGCAGTTAGCTGGGTGGAGGCTGTCAGCAAATGTCACGAAACTACAAGCCTTTCAGGGGAAGCTAGAGACATTTTGTTGGCAGCCTGGAGACAGAACACCAGTAGCACCTATGCCTCTGCTTGGAGTAAGTGGGTTAGCTGGTGCGATCAACAACAAATTAATCCACTTTCAGCACCTATAGAAAGTATTTTAGAATTTCTTACAAGGCAATTTAAGGATGGTAAGGCGTATAGATCTATTAATGTTTATCGCTCAGCTTTATCCTCAGTGCTGCCTCCGGTTGATTCTTGGAAAGTTGGGGCTCATCCTTTGGTTTCTCAATTACTAAAAGGAATGTTTAATTTGCGACCTCCTCAACCAAAATACTCTCATACTTGGAAAGTTTCCCAGTTGTTACGTTTTATTAAATCACTTGGGCCAAATGATACGCTCAGTCTTAAACTTTTGTCCTTCAAGTTAGTAACACTTTTGGGTCTAACAGCTCCAGATAGATCTTCAGATTTAGCGAAAAGAGATTTGAGATTCCGTACTTTTCATCCTGAGGGAGTGTCCTTCGCACTCTCTGGCCTCTCAAAAACGTCTAAGCCGGGAGATTCGCCTAAGACAAGCTTTCATGCAGCGTTTAAAGAGGACAGGGACCTTTGCCCAGTAGAATGTTTAAAGAGTTACAAAATTAGAACTGGTGACTATCGTTCAGGTGAAAAACCTACTAGTAACAAACTGTTTTTATCCTATATTTCTCCTCATAATCCCGTATCGTCATCAACTTTAGCCAGATGGATAAAATCTTTGCTGCAATTAGCGGGCATAGATACGTCCATTTTTTCAGCGCACTCGTTAAGAGGGGCGGCTACTACGGAAGCATTAAATCGGAAGGGTGTATCAGTATTAGATATTTTGGGTATGGCAGACTATCTCGTCTCGTATCTCTCATATAATTAATATTATACTGCATCTGCTACACAGACTTGCATAATCTACAATTATTAGTGAGCTGTTGTGATCCCTGTCATTGACATTGCAGCCAAAACACTAAATCTTTTTCCTCTGGTAAAATTTCCATGGTTAGCCAATCTGCATCCTCTCAATGACATGCCAAACTTCCTCTAGAATACAGTAAAATAAACAAGTTACTGATCACTGCAAGCATCTTTTCCTTTCACACACAAAAATATTTTAGAGCAAATATGCATTTCATAATTCATAGGTTATAATCAAGTTTACTCAACACTATAATTTTCACATATATTTGAAATGTATTTACACTCATCTCTAGCTGGATCTTACCTGGAATGTTCTATCATCTTTTGCTGATTCATCAACAAAGAGAAACTGATGCTTCTGAATGCCTGCCACAAGATGACGATATTTTGCACGCTTATGTTCATTCCGCTGCTTCGCTATCACATGCAACTGTCAAATGTTAGAGATTAATAAGCCAGGGCATCGATTGCATGAAAAATTAAAAAAAGAAATAACTACCATTGGTTAATGCCTGGGTCTGGGATATTATAAAGATTAGTATCTAATTACTCACCTTTTTCAATGTTAAACCACATCTTCTGAGGTAACGATGTAACGTTGTTAAAGAGTACATAACACCAGTAATGTGGTGCATCCATTCTCTCAATTCGTCGAGATATATTTCAGGGCACTGATCTACCAGCCTCCTAATCAGTAACATATCGGAACCTTTTAATACGAAAATAAACCTAAAGCTTCATTAGCCATACAATTGTTTATTTTGGGTGTAAAAGTACAAATCTAACCTGTTATGATTCTTGGTCGTCCTTTCCTGTGTTTCTCATATTCAACACTGGAGGTTTTCTTGTATATGCCTAAAGTTTTCTTTACGAAAGTTTCTCCGACACGTAAAATTTGCGAAATCTGATTTATCAAAAATCCATCGTTGTTTAAAAATACAACTCTCCATCGAAGAGCAATTGGATACGATTTCACCATATCAAATTTCACCAAAATGACAAATTATACCTATTTTAATTATAAAATTCAGTCACAAAACCCACATGTCAGGCGCAGACTTTTCAGGCGAAGTCGCGTAATTTTGAAAACGGGTGTAATGGGCAAACTTGCCCCATTAGGCAAAATTAAAGATTGGTTTTATAGAGTTGAGTACCAACACCGAGGGTCACCTCATATTCATATGTTGATATGGCTTGAAAATGCACCTGTGTTTGGTGTTGATAAAGATGAAGATGTTGTTGCTTATATTGACAGCATAATTACCTGTAACAAACCAGAAGATGATTTGGAAATACTCGATCTTGTAAATAGACAGACACACAGGCATTCTCATACTTGCAGGAAAAAGTCTAAAAATATTTGTAGATTCAACTATCCACAACCACCAATGAGATGTACTCAGATTCTTTATCCACTTGATGAAGATACTTCTTTGACTGCTGCTAAAGCCAGCAAAGAATTGTGGAAAAATATTAAAAGTAAACTAAATGATTTCAAGGAAGGTAAAGACATTACCTTTGATGAACTACTACAAGATTTAGATGTTTCAGAACGTCAGTATATCCTTGCTATACGATCATCTTTGAATACTCCAACAATCTTTTTGAAAAGAAGTCCAAATGAGTTAAGGATTAATAATTACAATCCTGTTTGTCTTCGAGCATGGCGAGCAAACATTGACATTCAATATGTCTTAGATGTATATGCATGTGCAATGTATATTGTATCATATATTTCCAAAGCCCAAAAAGGAATGAGTGAATTACTTCGTAAAGCTTGTGCTGAAGCAAAAGGAGGGAATACTAATATCAAGCAGCAAGTTCGTGATATTGGCAACAAATTTTTGAACGCTGTCGAAATAAGTGCACAAGAAGCAGTGTATGTTGTTCTGCAACTTCCAATGCGAAAATCTTCACGTAATGTAATTTTCATTAATACATCTCCTCCTTCTGAAAGAGTCGAATTGCTTAAACCGTTGAGTGAAATAGAGAAAATGGCTGATGAATCGGAAGAAATTCAGTCTGGAGGTCTTTTAAAAAGATATATAGAACGACCTGATTGTTTGCAAAATGTGACACTAGCTGATTGGGCAGCATGGTACGACTCTTGTGGTCAACAGACATATAGAAAAACAAACAAGTCTGATGTTGATAAACTTCCATTAGAAAATGATGATGAAGATAATGACGATGAATTACCAAATGACGAAAATCTTCAAATGGTAAAAGCTTCTGGAAGTAAAAATGTAAAGAAAAGATCTCGATCTAGAGTAATCCGAAGTGTCTGGTTTAATAAAGAGGCACAACCTGAAAAACATTATCGGGAGTTAATTATGCTATTTACTCCTTGGCGAAATGAGCAAACCGATTTGTTGAGAAATTATTCTTCTTTTGAGGAGCACTATTTAGCTCGATATGATGAAATAAATAAGCAAATGGAGCAATATGCTGTTTGTAGTGAAGATTTAAATGAAATTGGACATAATTTTGACGAATGTGATGATGCTTTTGATACAATAGCACCTGTGACACAAGATGTTGAACGACATGATCAGGACCAAGGATGTGTGGACACACATCCAGATTTAAACGAAACTTTTGATCATCTTGCAGAAAATTTGGGTATACCGTCTTCTTTACCAAATAATGAACCGCTCATCTTAAATGAAATGCAAGATAACGAATATCGAGCTTTAGTTCAGATGCTGAATAAGAAACAAAGAGAGTTTTTCTATCATGCTCTGCATTTGATAAAAACATCAGATAAACCATTTTACGCATTCCTCAGTGGAAGTGGAGGTGTTGGAAAGTCTCACCTTATTAAATCGATATACCAGGCAGCATTGAAGTATTACAATTCACGAGCAGGGGACGATTTTCATCGTGTTCATATATTATTGCTTGCTCCAACAGGAAAAGCTGCATATCTTATAAAAGGTAACCCGATTCACAGTGCCTTGCGCATTCCAGCTAGTCAGTCCCTAAAAAATTATAAACCATTGGATTCTGGCAGATTAAACACGATGAGACTGGAACTGGGTTCATTAAAGTTAATATTACTTGATGAAATATCAATGGTTGGCAACAGTATGTTCACCATTCAATTGAACAACCGTTTGAAAGATTTAAAAGGTAGCAAAGAAGATTTCGGCGGTGTCAGTATAATCACAATAGGTGATTTATTTCAACTGAAGCCTGTAATGGATAGTTATATATTCACAGATGTTCAGTGCTTAAATTCTTACGATATTCTTGCCCCAAACTTATGGAGGAAATATTTTAAAATGTTTGAGCTCAATGAAATCATGAGACAGAGAGAAAGCAAGATTTCCGCAGAGATTCTCAATCGACTTCGTGAAGGTAATCATACTCCTAGTGATCTTAAAAAACTGAAAGAGAGATGCGTTGAAGAGAATATGTGTCCCAGAGACGCCCCACGTTTATTCATTCAAAATGCTTTAGTTGATGAATATAATCATAAAGTTTATCAATCATTCAATCGTGGTGATAAATACGTAATCAAGGCACAAGATAGCGTCATTGGAGCCTGTTCAACTGAACTCAAGGAAAAAATAATCAGACAAATACCACATGTTCCTTTGAAAATTCAAAACAGTTGGCTTATAAGCTACATATTGCAGTCGGACAACGAACAGAACTTGCGATCAATATACGCACTGATGATGGACTAACAAACGGCGCAAGTAATGTCATTAAACATATTGAATTGACCAATGATACCAAACCCTCTGGCCTCGTCTGGGTTCAATTTGACTGCGAAGATGTTGGGAAAAAACCCGACAAGAAAATAGAATCTTATATGCGGGAGGTACATGCATACTAAGTAGTTGGACACCTATTAAACCGGTTACAACACAATTTGCTGTAGGTAAAACAAAGTCTGCTCAAGTGGTAAGAAAGCTAAAACTGTTCATAGATCACAAGGTGATACTCAATCACAAATCGTCGTTAATTTGAATACGAGAAGGGCAATTCCTCATATTCATTACGTCGCTCTAAGCCGAGTAACAACAATTGAAGGACTATATATAACTGATCTCTGCGAAAGTAAGATTTCTGTTGATCCTAAAGTCGTACAAGAAATGCAATCGCTGAGAAATGAGTATAAATTAGATCTTTGTTTTACTCCTTTGTACATGCTGAATCAGACTGATATCAAAATTTGTCATCTAAATGCAAGATCTTTGCACAAGCCCCTAGAACTACAACATCACATGTTACAAAGAACTACAACAATAAGTTATTGAAAAGTAAAGAAATGCCATAGTATAACATGGTTAGATCAAACCAGGCCAATCTTTATTGGCCTGCCTCCAATTTACAGCATTTTTTGGTTATTTTTTTCTATTTTCTGTTTCCTTTTCACTTATTTATTTCTTTCTTTTAGGTTCCGGCGGCACATCTTCAAATTAATCACATGGCTTCAAAGCTAGCTTCAATCATCAATAATTTAAAGGTAAATAATGCCAGTTTTATTGCTAATTTGATATTAGTATTGAATCTGCCGTACGTAATGAATCCCAAATGTGCCTTCGTTTTTCTACATTAACGTGTGTCTTTTTTTACAGTTCAGCTACGCTCACAGAAGTTGCCGAACTATCTACAATTAAGTCAGCGATGCTCCTTGTTTTAAAACACGTTGGTCGACGCCAAATGAACTTGATAAAAAGGCCAAGCACGACAAAAAATATATCGATATCCTCGTCCATCTGGTATCGACATCCAAAAAACTGTCACTGGAATGTGGATACCAAACAAGAACAGTTCTCTTTTCTTAACCAAAGCATCACTGAACTTCTTGACACATTCATGCAAGACAAAGGCAACAAAATGATGCATTTCTGGTAACTATTATTTGTTAGTAAGCGTTTACATCAGTGCTGAATAACGGATTCATTCTTAACTGATTGTCGGACTGATAATATCATCAATGAACAATGTAAACAAGCTAATGAATTCTCATTGGATCAATAAGCTCGGGCAACTTTCTCCGACTAATTAATGGTGATAGAAACATTGTCCGTGATGCTAGTTTTGCCTTCGTATACTGGATTCATGGTATCGTTAAAAAAGTAATTTCGTACGAAAGAAGAACTATGGCAAGAAACTTTGCATTGATGATTTATAACATCATTCAAAATCAACCTCTTAGCTAACATCGTATATTGCATACATCGAACGACAAAATTACATGCACAAATTGACACAAATTGTTGTAAAACAATAAACATCGTAGCGCGCTGATATTGAAGTGAAAGCTGATTAACCAGTGACTTTTTGAAATTGTAAAAAAAACTGGAACACTCCGAAAACTTCTTCTTTTATATCTGATATTTGTTATATATCATAATGTGTGCGGCCTTCCTGGAACCTGACTTCTTTCCTTTTGTACTGTCAACATTGTTTTGTCCAACACGTCTTATTTCTAATATTTTTGTGTATACTTTTTCTATATTCTCTCTCTTGTAAAAAAATGTTTTATGTGTGAATTCCGTCATTAGAAATTTATATGAAGAATGTCCATATAATTGTCTAGAATGTGTATTTCATGTGATTATTTAATTTCATTGTGTAATAAAATCTATTTTTCTATTACTGTATCTAACATATATATTAACTAGTGCATTTCTTTGGCGAGAGAGCTTTATGACATTGAAAACGTAAAACTAATCAATGCAATGATTTTTGACGCAATCTGCGATCTGTTTGACAGTGAGCATAACTTGCAAACAACGTTCCTTACCTAACCCTCAAAAAGGCTGCCATAATATCTAATCCATGTCCTTTAGCTAATCGGTTATTTAAATATAGTTTATTAATGGCTGGTATTATATATATTTAGGCAAAGCAACATTTAACTATGTGGTACATTAATGCAATACAAGGTATAGACAAAGGCAACAAAATGAACATTTAGGGAAATTTATTGAGCTAAATTATTTGTCAATACGTGTTTATATCTGTCGTGAATTATGGCATTCAATCTTACAAGGTTGTCAGACTAATATAATGCTGACATAATGTCGATGAACATTGCAAACAAGCTATGAGCTTACTGGATTTATAAGTTTCCACAAATGCACAATTGTCTCTGACTGACTAGTGGTTATACAAATATTGTCAGTGAACCTAAATGCATTGATACTTGATTCCATGGGACATGGTATCGTTTAAAGACTTCGTTACATTGTGGGAAAGGTGACCCAAGTGGGAGGGATCAATCCATGTAACTTTAACTCTAATCATGTAATCCTTTAACTCTACGGAGAACTTAATAGTTTTTCCATAAAAATCTGTTGTATACTGTAGTTGTCTCAGGGGGTAGGTTGTCCCTCTAACTTTTTTCATATAAACATACAGTGGAGTTTTTTTGGGGGAGGCAGGGGGTAGACCAGTAGAGTGTCCCTTGTACCCAAGATCATATAAACAGTGCCAACGAACAGACCTGTTTATAGGGAACCAAGTTAGCATCTATTTGACTGCTGAATAGATTTTGGTTATGCCAACCCAATGGTCCCTGGTCCTGGGTGAGAGTTTTCTGCAATTGTCCAAAAGGAGAAAGGAGTGTATTACTGGTAACTCCAAGTTCACATCATAGTTCAATGTTGGCATGTCTATTGCTTTTCTGTGCAACCAACCAATAGCAGTGTTTTGGTTCAAATTAGATAATCGTTTAATGACATGGTTGACATGGTAAAAATACAATACACACATGATGAGGAGGGGCACAAACCACTCAAAACTACATAGAGTTTCCAAATATTCTCTGCAGGGAACTCTTAGTAACTTTATTTAAACTGTGCTTGAGACTATTTTTTTCAATTCCTGGAGTTGATACTTTGCGGAGATATCAAGATATACCAACAATCACTGCCAACAAAATTGTAATGTAAACAAAATAATAAACATGCAATATAAACTAAATATGAATATAATACACTTGTCTGCTCCCCAATTACCAATCCCTGTATGCCTATGCTTGTCTGAAGCTCAGAAATCAGCAATAACCACTAACTTCTAATATTAACCAATAACTATAAAGTTCAAGTTCAGTTCAGTTAAAACAACATAACACTAATATGCAAAACTCTTACTGTCTGGAGAATTAAAGGTCGATCTTCTCTATATCCAAAATTTTTTTAGATCTTGTGTCATATGATAGTTGTAGCATTTCTAGGTTTAACAATGCTTCAGTTAACTCTGCTTCAGTTATCTGAACTAGATCAATTTTAGAAACTGAAGCCAGCTTTTCTACCGAAGAATTGAAGCCACTCAAATGAATCCTTTCATTTGTATTTTCTGCGTTTTGAACCAAGAGCCGCATGAACCATTGGTATTTGCACATTGACAATTTCGTTGTCATCTTGCATGAAGAACATTCAGCCAACTGACCACTGCATTTGATGATTACTTTTGATGAACAAGATAAACATGTTGGATGTTTTGACACAGAATTAACTCCAATAATACTTCCCATGATTTCTTTTACAGATGAGGTCATATCTGCAGCAGGAAGGCTTTCTTTAAAGGCACTTGTTGGTGAAATTTTGCAATCTTCATCTGCTTTTGGCGTGTTAAGATATCGCTCAGAGTTTTGAAATTTCAGGCGAAGTTGATTGAAGGTGTATGTTTTCTCTACCTCAATAGTATCAGTATGACTTCTCCACAGCACAAGTTTTATTGATCCTGTTGGGTCAACAAGGAATCCCTCTTGTTTCTTGAGTGCACCAGATGGCATTAGAATTACTTTAGTTGCAGATAAATGAGCAACATATCCTGTAACTGTGACCAGCTGTCCAGGGGTTGTTTGCGATAGAGAAGCAATGGTTGTTGGACTTTTTAAGTCTTTGTACTCAAGGGAAGTTATGGTTAGAACAATTGACGTGTACTTGTTAATAATTACATCGTCTTTCCCAAACTTGTTGCTAGTTTGATATTTCCTAATCTTCACTGGACTTTTTTGTTTTGCATGGGAGTCGAGTGTTTCCCACTTTTGAGGTGCAAAACATACAGCATTGAAAACTTTTCCTTCTGCTTGAAGGTTGCAGTTAAAATACTTCGTACTTCCAGATGCTTTGACAGGTGAAACACAATGAACAAAGCATGTAATATCAGATGAGTCTGGCTTAGTCTTAGGTGCAGAAGCCGAATCTGACTGTGTAGAAGCTGAAAATTGAAGGTATAAAAACAGTCAGCACTAGTAACAGCAAAAACCTAGTGCTATTCCCGAAAGATACTACAAAATCTGAATACTTACGTACTGGTTTGTCCATGTCATTTTTATCTGGAAAGTCTGGAAATTAAAAAGGGAAATTTCGTAAGATAAATAAACACAATTCCTCCTAGTTTTCGAAATATCAAAGTAAAAAGACAAAAACACCATAAAAGCATCAAAATAAAATGATTTTCTCACCTTCCTTCGACATACTTTAATGCACAATCAAAAAATACATGTGGTCACCCGTCACTGTCACCGTGTACTCAGTCACATGACCCAATATATGATCGCAAGTTAGTCGTGAAAATTTCGCTATTCTCCGGTACGCTCTCGTTTCGAATGCAACTCACATGACCAGAGCATGACTATTCACATCGTGGTCACTGATCGTGGTCCGTACGCTGACTTGGGCATTCCCATGATCCTTTGCGTCATCAATTTTTATCGCTTCGTTAGGGACTGTGGAAGAGTCAGGTCCGTACGTAGAAATATTGGAAATCCAGCATTCAGTAACAAAGTGGCAAGCCATACCATATATAGGCTTGCCGCAAAAATTGCAAAACTTCTGAATATATATCAGGCTCTCTGTCCAACATTTGTAATGTTTTCAGTACTCTCGCTCTTGTAAAAAATGTGTTCATTCCGTATTCCGTCGTTTAAAATTTATATGAAGAATGTGCATAAATTGTCTATAATAGGTATTTCATATGATTATCAAATTTAATTGTGTAATAAAATCTACTTTGTTTATGAGCTTGATGTCCAAAAGACATTTTATAGGAATAATTAAAAGCCGGTGACCATGCGCGATTTTTGGGAATGACTAATAAACGATATAAATTGCAGTGCTTTGCTTTACTGTAATCGCTGCTGTTTTCGAGGCTACCCACATGTACGCTATGCGTACCTCTCGTTTGTTTTTTTTTGGTAAATAGATATAAATTAAAAATCTTAATGTGACAATGAATACTTACTTACAGTACTTACATTAATACAACAATACTATATATAATATATTTCTCAAATGTTTGTTGTTTATAAACTTATCACCCCGTATACATATAATTACGGAATATTTTTTTGGCTTGGAAGCCTCTCTCTCATCAGTGAAGACTCCATATAATGAGAGCGAGGCATCTAGGCTAAAAGAGCATCAATGATGTAATTATTGAAGGGATGTATGAATTGATTTATATAACAATGGTTATCTACAAAAGTCACTTGTTGATTCCAACTTGAATTCCAGTTTTACCAAGAAAAGAGAGCTTTGATATTGGCCACAGGTAAAACCCTCCAATATGTACGTTGTCATCATCAAATGCACCCGGTACAGGCGGTTTTGTGACGCAACTATCTTTCACACTGACCACTTCAACTACCAGGCAACCAGGCCCAATTGGTCTTCCATGTAACTGATGCTTTGCCAGAACCTTTCCCATTCCTTTGATCATGTTTTGCTCGTCCATAAGCCCAAAAACTATACCTGCGTATAAAAATTTACCTTACTATTAAAAATATTTGTGGAGAGTTTCATTGGCACTCATGTCCACGACACTCACGAATACATAGAAAGCAGGCTAAAATGTAACTTTAAACTCCATTATTTATATTATTCACAAGGAAAACACCAATATGTCCACAAGCATGTAATGGTTCAGTTTGTTAATAATAGATACGCTGGAATTATGTTTGAATTTGAAAAAGAATAGGTAAATGAAATAATAACATAGCCTGAATCCACAATGGCAAAATATAGATCTTGGTTTTATTAATTACATGGATGGAAGAAAACGCAGACATCTACCACATTCTGTTTGGAACATGCACTGGGTAATGTTGCTAAGTGCCATTAAGTTTATTTGTTTATTGTTTCACGAAAAAAAGAAGAATCGGCTAAATAAACGGATTAGCTTAGCTGATTATTGCGTATTATTATATGGCAAGCGTCACTTCCGGTGAAATTGAGCTCAGTGACTTTTCCGTAATGGCCGGCACTTTCCCATAATGGACCGGCATTACTGGCAATCAATTCAGACATTCAATTCAGGCATATACATAACATTATACTGCTTTCACAAACACCCATTTTTACTGGCGCAGTTGGATACCCATAAGACGTTGCAATGATCAAATATTTGCACCAAAATATGAAATTTAAAAATGATTATAGTATTCATGTCACTGCCTTGTTGGGGCAACCAATCAAGCGAATAAAAACTTTTGATAACTAGGCAGAACACTGATGTAATGCTTAAAAAATTTTAAATCGCATTTCGCACTTTATGAAGTGGAATAAAAATTTTAGCTAACCTTCCTTAAGCTGTAGTGAAACCCAAAAAAATTGTTTGCTCAATAATTTGAGAAACAATTAGTTCTTGGCCGTCATTCTTTGACAAAGACTGACAAGGGAGCTTCATGTCAGGTTGGTTAATGGGAGCAAGGAAAGAATGGTCTTGAAGCTGGGATTGTGAAGGCGTACTAATTGTTTCCCATGATGTACTTGGTCTTAAGCTAGTAGAAAGTGGGACTTGGTGATCAGATGCAGTCATTGGAGGTAATGTAGATGGGGGCAAAAATGGATCAGTACTAGTTGACGAACTGACATTTGACGAAGTTGAAGAAGATGATGCATTGTTACTTGCAGTATTGATTATTTCCATGTGTGATTGCAAACAAAAAGAAAAGGAGTATCTTCTCTCCCACAATCTTCGCTTTTGTTGTGCCCCGTAATGGTTTGGCTGTTTTGGATAACAACCCAATTCGTCTATGAGTTCGGACGGCAAAAACCATTAAACTTTAGTCCAAGAGATTCTGCTGCTGAATACGGCAAAAATGAAGCCTTGCCAAGTAATGTACCTCCAAAATAACGATATTATATTAATTTTGTATTCTGACTTTTTTTGTAGCGTCAGATAGAATTCACAGATAAATAGTATCATCCCACGGGAGTTGAACCCATGCTCATATCCCTGATATGTGTTAACACAAAGATGATGAAGAATTAAGTGAATTCTATTTTTTCGTAATGTCTCTATGAGCAATTCTCAAATACACTAGTGTATAGCACTTGTACAACATAGTATAACACACATAAAAATAGAGAGATTTACTTATTTTTAGGCATCTTTATATAAGGCCACATTCATCAGTAATTCATCAGAGGAAAAAATATTCTTTTTATGTCCATCTTTATAAGCCCGGTTGGCGTCGTTTTTGTTGAAGAACTCTATTCCTATTCAGTCATAGAAACTTCGCCAGCCAGGCTTATTAAGATGTCCATAAAAGAACATTTAAATTCCTCTCAGTCATGAAAGCAGTCTATGCAATTGTAAATAAAGCTTCCTTTATAAAGGTGAACCATATCTAATTTTTTCATAAAGAAACAGTAGTGAATATAACAGCATTTTTATGTATATATATATATATATATATATATATATATATATATATATATATAAATTCATATATAAATACTGCATTTTTGAAATATTAGGGGAAAACGTCAAATATAGAATGTACTTACACATCTATCTTGTTATTAAGGGAGACTAAAAAAAAATTTTTAAAAGTATCACATATGTAACAAAATCTCTGTCATTTACTATTTCTCTAGTGAATACAAAGCCAAATAAAGATAACCTGACATTAGAATGCGCTGATCGGCCTAAAACGAAATTCCCCCCTGTTTCACTGTATCTGAATTATTCAGTCGTTCAGATGATTGCATCTCTAAACAACTTCACCCATTTTATGCCCTCGTAGACTGGACCAATTTTGAATAGGCATTATAATAAGTTTTCAAAAATTATAAATTGGGTATAAATGTTCATATCAAACAGGTGACTCATGTTATGGAGCACAAAGATTAACAGTCGCATTCCACTGGAAGTGAACGGTGCCAACACTTTACCATTTTGAATGACATTTCCAAACTTTGTACAGGTATCCGGATATTCCTCAAGAAGCTTTTTGCCCAATTTTGTTGAGGCATGGTATATATTGCCACCTTCCACACAGATAACCGGGCATTCGACTCCATCTATATTATCAAGTTCTGCAACCTGAGTGTTGATAAATATTGATTAGGCTCAATTCAGGACTCATTGTAGTGCCCCAAATTCAAATCACATGCATGTGTTTTCATTCACATGTGGTTTCACGTAATCACATGTCGTGTGAATTCACACACATTCCTATAACACACAGTACATATGAACTTTGAACATGTAGGTAGCTTGTAGAAATCATAGAATTCGCTGTGTCTGCATAAGTAAACTACCTGAGAAATACAAGAGAGTTTTCGACGTTTTGAGTTTTTCAGGTAGCACTCATACTCAACGATTTCTACATTTCAACTTGAATACAAATTTTTGCTCCACCAAGTTGCATAAAAAATTCGTTAGTATTTGGTAAGTCGTTTTTGGTTTAGAACAAATATTCCATACTGAATCAGCACTGCATGTGCACTAATACACTATAACTATTTGTAGAAAAAAACTGAGATACAGAGTAAATACACTTATACTTAATAATAACATTACCACCTTCATTAAATTGTTAACAATTCTTTTACTTCTCTGCCTATCAGTGAATCATTCCCTCTATATTCCTCTTTTTGACCATCTGTCAAGTCCTTCAACTTCGCACCAAGTTCAGAGAACTTTTGTTTCTTGCTCTTGGAGTCTCATACATTTAAATAGTACAAAATGTTATATACAGTACACAATGTTAGTACATAATAGTACACAATAGCATAATACAGACTACAGTGAATGATACTATGTCTGTAACAGCTGGATCTTGCAAAAACGGATGGCTACTTTTCAGCAAATATTTTACAGATCAAAAGTAAAAGTGGGTGGTCAAAATGCTGTCCCTGTGCATGCATTTGACGTCATGACAGCTTAATGTATTTAACAAGATAAACTGGTGGGGTTTTTTCTAACCCACTTAATGTTAAATACATGAAAAATTTAACGGGAATTATTAGTAAAGTATTAATTATGATCCAGTATAACACGATTGATTGTTATATTTTTCAGGTAGTTATCCCATATATCAACTTATTACAAAATTTATCCGGCAAAGAATCTATGTACCTACACTGGCAACCCACATTTGAAATTTTATTAACATAAAACCCGACTTGCCTAATTGAGTAACGTGCATGTGAAATCTAATTGTAGGATGTACTGTGGTTTTTTAATATATACCATCAATATAATCATACCGATTGAGGCCCATATGTTATCTTCTCTCTTCTTACCAGTTGTTTTTTACAGGAATTAATGGTACATCACAATTATACTTCAGATTTAATTTACCTTCAGCAAGTTGTTCCTTAGCACAAACATTATAGCCACTCCTCTTTTGAATTAGAACTGATTTACTAGTATTTTGCCTAGGTTCACCAGATGATCGTTTGCTAGCTTTATAATTACTTATCCAGTTCTAAAAAATAAGGTAAACTAAAGTGATTATCCCATGAAAAACGAAGCACAAAAATGTCTGGTTGGTATTAGATTAAGGTACTGTACAACACATACAATAAACCTTTCCAAAAATAGCTTGATTGCATAGAAAAAATAGTTTGAAATCAAGCCAGACAATGCAGTCCATTGTTAAATAAGCAGTTTTCATTGCCATTTGTAATAAAATACAGTTTATAATCACAGACAGTGTGATATGCAGAGTTATCAAGGTCTTGGTAAGCGTTATCAGCAACCCCTCTGCATATCACAAAAACCAAATTCAATAAAGGTTTTATTATACATTTGAAGAATAGTAAACATAGTATTAACAAATGAAAAACCTTATTTAATAGCAACATCCAAAAATTCATCAATTATTAATATATAAATACATTCAAATGAATATCACTTGTTAACCACCACAGGCTTACTTGCAGATAACTCAGTTATCTGCTAGCAGAACTGAATTTTGTGTGATTGCACGATTTATCTGTCAACTATTAGCCAATCAAATTGCTTTCACTACTATAAGGTACAATAATAACAATTAATTGTTGGTTAATTAACTAAACCTCCAGCACTCAACTTAATCAACATTTAAAATTTTCCTGGCTCTAGTGGTAGTGGTGGGCCGATACCGATACCAAATACTCAATACCATAGATACTTAGAAAAGTATTGATACTTTCGATACCAAGAAAAAGTATCGGCATTTTTAATGCCACCAGCCTGCACATTTTTGTCAGCGGTAACGTATAAGCCGTTGTACTTTGTTTAACTCTAAGTGTTGATTGTTGAAATTTCCTAGAGGCTAGAGACATGAATTATGGATAAAGGTAATTATTTCCACTTCAATTTTGTGAAGTTTTCCTAAATTTTTGAAAACAAATATATTTTGTTTTATGATCTATGGAAGGAGAAAGTTCCGGGAGTCATAGTTTGACTGGAAAGCGTTTAAAGAGTGTCTGTAATGTTTGCTCGGAAAGTTTGAAGCATTCTAACAATACTTCAAATATTTTCAAGGTATTTTTAATATATTGTAATTTGTAAAAAAATCCTAGTGCAATATTTTTAATATATTGTAATCTGTAAAAAAATCCTAGTGCAATAGTTACCTATAAAACTTGTGTAACGAAATTCATTTCTCTAGTGATTATTAATGCATTTATTTTTAAACAACTATCATTTAAAGATAAAGCACCCCAGTCAACACAAGGAAGCAGAAAAATTAAAAAAAGAACAAGAGCATAAAAATGAAAAACACAGGAAATTGAAAGGTGCCAATTTTCTGCAGACATTACTAGCCTCCATTCAAAAATACTTTAAATACTCATTGATTTCCACAAAAAAGAATATTATTGATGATGCTGTATTTAAAATGATTGTGAAGGACATGCAACCAGTTTCAGTTGTTGAGAATGAAGGATTTCAATTGTTGTTAAACGTCCTTGACCCGCAATATCAAGTACCATCTCGAAGAGCAATCATGAGAATGTTGCCAGAGGAGTACTCTAAAGAAGTCGAAGTAGTGAAAAAGAAATTTCTGCCGTGTCAAATGTTGCTCTGACAAGTGATCTGTGGACTACTCGAGCAACAGAAAGCTACATGACAATTACCTGTCATTTCCTCACAGAAACGTGGGAGCTCAAGTCTTTGGTGTTAGAAACATTACTTTTCGAACTAAGCCACGCTGCAGAAAATATCGCAAATTCACTGAGAAACGCTGCAAAGAAATGGAACATTTCAGAAAATATCATTGCCATAGTAACAGACAATGCGTCAAATGTGGTGGCAGCTGTAAAAATTCTTGGTTGGAACCATGTTCCCTGCTTTGCGCACACGCTTAACCTTGTCGTATCTGAAGCAATAAAATCAGATGAGTGTGTGAGTGAGATTAAGAAAATGTGCAAGCAGATTGTAACATTTTTTCACCAAAGTGTCAAAGCTACAGAGAAATTAAAGGAGGTGCAAAATAAACTAAACCTCCCGGAACACAAACTAATACAAGAGGTGGACACAAAGTGGAACTCAACCTTTTTTATGTTTAGTTGCATTTTTGAGCAGCATGATGCTATAACTACTGCTCCATGTCTATCAGGTCGCAATGATTTGTTCCTTGCAGTCGACGATTTCCAGTTACTGAAAGCTTCATTGTCAGTTTTGCAACTATTTGAAACAGCAACGCGAGAGATCTCAGCTGACAAATATTTATCTATCTCAAGAGCAATACCTCTCACAAGATCACTGTAACACTTGACAGCTAGGACCACACATGAAGATACTTCACTCGGGACAACTCTGAGTGCTCAAATGCAACGTAGATTTACAGCAATAGAGCGTGCCCATCTTCTTGCAATCTCAACGATCTTGGATCCAAGATTAAAGAAGTTTGCCTTTTCTAATCGTGAAGCTTCTCGACAAGCAGAACAGTGGGTATTTCAGGAGGCTAGAGCTTTTATTCTACCACAGTTGAATACCAAGAGGCTGGCAGAGGATGAAGGGGATGAACCTGAGAAAGTTAGTAAATCCCCTGGTTTGTGAGATATGTTTGACCAAAAAGTTGTTGATTCTACAAGAAATGTCAAAAGCAAGGCATCAGTAGAAGCCGAAGGTTACTTTGCTGAAGAAGTACTATCAAGAGCTGAAGATCCGCCGGTATGGTGGAAGGTAAATGAGAAACGGTTTAATTTGCTGTCACAACTGGCTAAGAAGTACTTATGTATACCACGTATGTCCGTCCCTTCAGAAAGGTTGTTTTCCAAGGCAGGAGAACTTGTTTCCAGTCGGTGAAGCAGATTGAAACCAAAGAATGTTGATATGATGTTGTTTTTGAACAAGAACATGTAATAAATTAAATGAGCTTATTAAAGTGCCCATGTCATAAAATTGGAATTTATCTCATTAGAATCGCCGTGAAACGTAGATTACGAAAATAGTAATCACATTTGAAACTGAGTTTGTTTCCGCGGAGAAATAAAGCAATAAAGTTTGAAAATTTCAATTTAACGGCAAAAGTTTTTGAAATCCGCGACAGTCGGAAACTGGTAACTAACACGTCACAATAGGAACTCGCATATTGCGCCTTTAGATAAATAATAGTATGTACTACAAGAGAAGCAATTTTATGCCAGCTATAAATTCGGTTATTAAACATGGCAGAAATATGTCTTCATCAAGTTTAGCTATTGAGAAGTTACCAAAGGAATGACACTGATCAGAATGTTTTCCTGCCAATGCAATGCCAAGAAAAAACAAAAGTTAAGACCATGAACGCGGCTCAATGTCAGCCTTGTCAGGTAGTAAGAACACTTCGGACCATACATTAACGAACCAGATGCCGATGATAAGCTGAAAAGCTATCGCGAAATGGAGCAATCGTGCAACGATCATGGCATCGAAACTACAACGAAGACTTGATCGTAGGCGTCAGTAAATAGCAAATGTTTTCTTATTATCTTGATTGCGCGACTTGCTTTCCGTGACCCCAGAACATAATATCATTATGCTAGATATACAGTATTCAAATTACAAATAGATTCTATGGTAGTAATCTGGCAATTGTACTTAACTTAATTCTAAAGTTTCGTCCTAGTTGATTGTCATTCGTAATTGCGCACATACAGTTCACCCGGGTGTAGATAAAAGGCGGACGCGGAACCCTAATACATCTTACTGCCCTATATAAATATTATATTAATAGCATTATGATTGAGGTTTTCCTGTGGCTCATGAGTGCCGGTATTTTTACAATGTGTTTATGTGTAGTTAAGTCACGCATGCCTGTGTGATTCTCTGGTTTATTTTCATTACAAATCAACTGTAATTATAGTTTATCCTTTTCTATTGTGCATTGGTATCGGTATTGGTGTCAGTATCGAAAAAATTGGCCAGTATCGGTCAAGTATCGAATCAAAAAAGCTGGTATTGCCCACTACTACCAAGTACTCTAGATTATAGGTTAGTTTCTTCATATATTTTTCAATTTTATTTCTTGCAATGTTTTAACATTTTGATGTCCAACCAATGTTAAGGTGAGGGCTCACAGTGTGGGTTGGGGTTAGTTTTGGTTTTAGAAATGTTAAAGTCTAAGACTAAACATGTGAATACTTCAACTGCAATACAAATGGCAAATGAAATTTCCAGTCACCCTTTGATGAATAAAATTGTCTGGTGTTAGACAAAGTAAAATACCAATTAAAGCAGGGAGCATCAGGGCACAATGCTACGCTATGAGTTGATGTCTCAGAACAATATATTAACTATTAATTCATTACTATTCTTTCCAGAATTTGTTGGGTGCAAAAGTGTGTAATAAATTGTAGAAATTGCACAATGAATCAAACACCAACAATGTTGCCTGTATTCTTAAAGACTCACACTCACTCTCACCAAGTGTGTCCCAGTGATCATGTTTATGCTGATCAATGAGTCCTTCCTTAGTCAATAGCAATATTTAATTTGTGTGCAATATTCAAAATTAACATTTACTGGAGCAAAAATACCATTATAGATTCCATAGAAATTGGAAAATTCAATTTAGTGTCATTATACCTAACGTTTAAGCTCATTAAAAATCGCTGTTTCAAAAGATCTCCTCCTCATACTGATTGTCCTTAGGTCTAAAGGTAAAGTATTCCAATCATTTAGTGCACTATTTATAGAGTTCATTAATCCCCATTTGGTTGTAGCTCGTTCCTTTCGTATGTTATCTTTTGTTCGCGTGTTATAATTGTGAATGTCCGTTCCTCTAACTATCACATCGTTTCTGTCACTGTCATGAATAAGATCGAATGTAAAAAGACAACGTTGCAATTTTCTTCTAGCAGACAGATCTAACCAATTCAGTTTTAACAAAGCTTCGCCTGATGAAGAACGTGATGGTCTATCCAAGATCGATTTGGCTGCTTTATTTTGCAGGATTTGAATTGAATCCATTAAAACTTTGTTATTCTTATCTCCCCATATATTATTAGCATATTCTAATATAGGTGTGATCATGGTTGAGACATATAGTTTCCTTGTATAAATGGGGAAGCAGGTGCTTCAACCTTTGAGAATACCCAAACTTTGCGCGACTTTACTCTGAATCTGATCAATATGATTATGCCATGTTAGATGTTGATTGATAATCACGCCAAGATACTTGAACTCTGAAACATTCCCCAGCTGCTCATCCCCAACTACAAGCTCAATAGAATTGAATTGTTTCAGTTTGCCACTACTACCGATAATCATAAATTTTTATTTCTCAAGGTTTAGTGTGAGCTTATTATCACGTAACCAAACCGAGGTAGCTTTCAGATCTAAGTTCAGTTTCAATTGCAGACCAGCGACAGAGCTCTCGTGACAATAAAAAGCCATATCATCAGCAAAGATAGTCATCTTAGAATGTTGTAAGACAGACTGAACTCCATTTAGATACACAAAGAACAACAGCGGTCCTAAGATGCTTCCTTGTGGCACCCCTCAGGTAACATTAGCAGGAGGCAAAGTCGCATCACAACACATCGTTTGTTGACTCCGGCCACTACTAAGATAGGAGTTGAACCAAGAAAGACTCTTACCTGACACACCAATATTCCTGAGTTTACGAACAAGAATGGTGTGGTCGACGGTGTCGAAAGCCTTCTTCAGGTCTAGGAACACCACGCCTGTTACCTTTTCACCATCCATACTCTCCAGAATCTGGTCTGTGAAGCCAGTCAGGGCCACAAAAGTTGAACGTCCTTGGCGGAAGCCAAACTGATAATGTGACAGTAACTTATTCTCTTCTAAATAAGCATACAGTTGTACATGTGCCGCTTTTTCCATAATCTTACTCACAGTTGGTAGGATTGATATAGGACGGTAATTGTCCTTTCGAGATTTATCTCCTCATTTAAACAATGCCGAGACCCTTGCTGATTTCCATATCTTAGGGAAAATCCCATTTGAGAATGATTTGTTTATTAACTCTGTTAAGACTGGAGAGATAACATCGGAGGCATCCTTTAATAAGCGGGCGCTCAACTTATCCAGACCAACAGCTTTGTTTATTTTTAATGATTTTTAGGGCTTCCCTAACAAACTCCACAGAGACATTGTTGAGATGAAAAGTAGTGGACAGTGAGCTGACAACAGGAGTGACAGGGGTCATACGACCAAAGGCCTTTGATAGTGTTTTACCAATAGACACAAAGTAATCATTCATAATCTTTGCAACAGATTGTTCGTCAGTGTGCAATCTTCCTTTTTCAAAAACAGAAAATATAGCTGATCCTTTATTACTTGGAAGTATTTCTTTTATTACTCGCCACATTCTGCTACCATCATCCTTCACGTCTTCAATCAACTGACAGTAATATTTTGATTTCAAGTTCTTTTCTTCACGGTTGGAAAGGTTTCGCAACTTTTTGTACATGTTCCAGTGATACTTACTATTCGAACAGCGGGCTTTTTTATGGTGATAGTCTCGCCTATGCTACCAATGGCAAATGTAGGCAAATGGACAGACAAATGGTTCGCTGTTCAGTGTTTACTATGCTCAGACGAGCCGCATTTTGCTTAGAATGAAATGGTGGACATTCTGAGGATTAACATCACAAATAAATCGCTTTGTTTTTGTGTCGAGTTTCTCGCTTTAATTTATTCATTTGCCTAGCTTTGCATGAGATCGGTCACGCTAAAATCAACGGTGCATTTAATCCACTGCGCGCAATGAAATATTTGTCACCTTTAGGGGTAGCGCGTTGCTCCCAGTATGCATTATTTTTCCTGAAACTTTGACAGTTTATTAAAAAGCTTTCCTACTTTTGGACAGCTAAATAATATCTCAATTTCATCTTCACATTTTCGCACGCAAGCCCTCTCAATGTTAGTGGAAAGGAACCACTCCCCTGGTAACATAAGTTTGTTAATGAAAAACCAAACTGGCCCTAGGTATACTAGATAAGTCTTAACTATCTCTAGGAACACAAAAATTTGCCAAATTCTGCAAAATACCCTGAAAAACGAAAATTTTACATTTGGGACACTTTTTTTGATACACCCTGTATAGTCGTCCATCATCAGATAGAATGAGGTAATCGCTGTCTGCATTGAGTGTGTGATATACCTGCAGCGAAATAAAACATATTCCATGGAGTTTCAGTTATTATATGATATATAGCAAACTACATAAATACTTTTATGAAGTCTACTGAATTATAGTCATCATGCATTACCTGTCTGCTTTTCATCAAAAGAGTGTTAAACTTGGCATTTATTATGTTGGCCAAAGGATATCTGGTTTTAAAAAACCCTCTGATTTCCAGTAATATGGATAATGAAGCCATTATCTTGTCTGAGAATGATGCACTAGTCATGTATAATAATATTTTAATTTTTTTTGAAAGATTATACAATAGACTGTAGTTTCAGATTTGTGGGACTTTAATTTTCCTGATGCATTTCGTAAAATTTGTAGAAATAGTTCATGCGTGCACAAACCTTATACTATTTACTAGTAGGATTTTATGTCAGCCAGATTTTATATCACATGCTGTATCAGGTTTCTGGCCATA